ATGAAAAACAGATTTGTGTCCATCGAGATAACAGACTGATAAAAAATACTGTTTTGTGTTTTCAACTTTTCTAGTCTCTCATAGATCTTAAAGCTTCTTCATTCCTCCATTCCTCGTGTTCCTGTATAATACCTGTCTTTATTAGTGATTAACATAGGGTATAAAATTACAGAATAATATAATATAATATTTGTTTATTATTGTTAAATGTTGTTAGCTACCGTTATGTATACTTGTTAGATTAAAATCTTGTGTAATTTTCGATATAGAATTCCCGAAACATTATGGCTGAAAACAGTTCTAAGTTTTGGTTCCTTACATTTGAATATTTTAAAAAAGATGTTAACAAACCCGAGGACAATTTGGTCATATTAGTGCATTGGTTATTGCTGAGGAACAATTTCCAAGTTCTTAAACTTGATAATGAGGTAACTATTTTTAACACTWTTTTTAATACGCTAATTACATTTTGGCTAATTTTGAATTTATCATTCCCAAATGTTATAGTACTTAACATGTATAGTTAATAAATGGGCATTTCCCCCATTTTTTTTTTAAATCAAATATTTAATATTATYATATTATTTATCATAGAGTATAAAATTATTATTTCTTAACATATATACATTTTTTTTTGTAAAAACACTACCAGTTTACTAAAAAATTTTAACAAAAAAATAATAAATTATAGGTATTTAAAAAAAAGTTAAATTAAAATAAAAGATTGTCTAAATATAATATAATAGAACAATAGTTTTTGATTAACTAAACTACTCAAACAATACAAATATAAATTTTAAACAAATATAATCAGTAGTTAACCCTAGATTACACGCATCAAAAATATTCATGAGGCTTCACGCATACAGTGTTTTGACCGTGTATTGAAATATTTCAATTAAAACTCGATAAATTGAAATAATCATTATTTTATTGATTTTAAATAAATAAAAATTKTCAATTGAAAWTATAGTGAGACTAAAACAAAAAATTGCCTGGTGAAAATAAAATGTAATAATACTTACATTTATAAATGTCTTATCTGTATGTGTAGTGTATTATACTCGTAGTTACACACAGTATGGCGGACCAATGTCAACTAGCAACAATTTTKCCAGTCACAATGAAAATAAAATATTCATTTACGTTTTATCGATAGAAAATAACGTCTTATCGGTGATAAGAGAGTTTAAAAATAAGTAAAACCCATATTTGAGTTTTCATAAAATTAAATTGTGTGTTAATGTCACATTATAGCACACAGACGGTCTTTT